ACAGACACAAACAGACAAAGTGAAGTAAAATAAACAGTTCATTGAAGCAGTGCATTAGTAAGCTGTCGGCCTGTAGCGCCGCTGTCGTGGTCCTGAACTGAAGGAAGTTCTTCAGAGGCTGTGTGAACATGGCTGAGAGACGATTCCCACAGCGGCTGTGTGTCAGTTGTTCCAGCTGTCTGTGGTCTACCTGCCGCTCAGGTGGCACACAGCGTCACACCAACTGGCTGCCAGCGAGCTCACGCTTTATCTCTTTCACAAAGTGTGGATTCATCCGCCGCTGAAAATAGTCCCAGACCAATGCCCTATTTCCTCCTGTTTGTTGGATAATAACTACAGTGACCTTTGACCTTTGACCGTACACAATCTCCGAGACCAACAGTGAATGCAGAACCGAGGTGGTTTTCTTGCCAGCTCAGTTAGCCTAGCTGCACGGCTGACCGAGCTAACAGCAGTTAGCGGTTAGCTACTGATCGATCTGTCCATCAGGTACTCTGAATGATCTTGGTGCTGTAACGTTGTTCCCTGTCAGCAAACTGTGTAAGTAAGAACAATCAACACACACTAATTATTAGGTCTTGTATTCTTGTGTGTCTGCGTAGATATTTATGTACACACCGGTGTGTGTGTGTGTGTGTGTGTGTGTGTTAAAGTTTGAAATGAAGAAGACACTAAAGACGCTGTAGGAAAAAAAGAGCCCGAACTGCCCTGTGATGTTGCACGGAAGTCTGAATGCCCACTGAGACCTGGTAGGTGTCTGTTTCAGGGGATAGGAGACCCTGTAGCTCTGCAGTCAGTGCGCTACAATACAAAATAAATAATTATTATTTGTGACTAAAGTTTGTTTGTCTTTGTTGGTAAAGTATCTTCCAGCCCCCGGCTCAGCTCCCACCGGCTCCCACCCTCCCTCCACTGAGTGAGAAAGCGTTGGTCAGAGAACGAAACGTTAACGAGAACGCCAGCTCGGTTTCTGAACGTCTTCCTCTGTTTATATTTAAATATGTTTGTGGTGCAAAGACAGAAAGTTTCATGAGGTCGCCACAAACCTCCACAGACTGAGCTGAGCTGAAATGAAACCTGCATGTCGCATGAGAACGTCAGTGATAGTGTTCATGTGTTCATCGCGTGTTCATCGTGTGTTCACTGTGTGCTCAACCTGAAGCTGCTCGTTGTGTTTTTAAAGGATGAAGATGAATTATGAGTCAAGGAAGAGGATGTGGTGACAACTTGTTTCTCAAAGAGTCTAACCTCTGTTTGCACAACGTGCAACACCTTTCTACAGAAATTCACTCGCACACAGCGCCACTGTCAGACTGTCTGTGTGTCTGTGTGTCTGTCCACAGGCTGCACACCATGTGAGGCTGATGTTGGACTGAAAAAAGCAAAAAGAACAACTGAGGAGAAGCAGGAAGCAGAGTTTGTAGCGAGGGTGTACAGAGGACACATTCATGTGGCTGTTGTAGCTCGGCTTCAAAGACTCGCTCATTTTGGTGTGGCTTCACTGAAATTCATCACCATGAGATTTTACACTGTGGTTTCATGGTATGGGTGTAGGTGTAAAGATGGAAGACATAAATAGATGTGCCATTTCTACAGGTACATATGTATGTATGTATATATGTATGGATGGATGTATGTATGTGGGAGGACGTCCTGAGAGGAAGTACTACAGTATAAACCTCACAGCTCACCTGGAGATTAACCCTTTCTGTCACTGTGTTGTCTTTATTAATGGTGCCAGATGAGATTAACATTCATATGATTAGAGAAAGAAAATGATTTGACGAACTAATAATGGACAATAATGGGAAGCTATGGGTGTCTGGAGGTCACCAAAAGAAACAAAAGGACCCAGAGCGTCCCAGAACCAGAAACACCAAAACCATTATTAACTGAGAACCAAAGAACCAAAACTGGACTCACAGATGTCCATCCACACAGAATAGGAGACAAACGCTGATGGAGGGAGCTCCAACCTCCAACCTCCAACCCAATGAGGACCTCCTGAGAGGACAGAAAGGAGGGACGGGGGGAGAGCAGACTGCTTTTACTTTACATCCATCTCTTTATTTGTAGTGATGTTTATTTATTTCATTTTTATTCATCAGACTTTTATTTTACCAGAGAGATTTACGAGCAGGTGCTGGAGAACAGCAGCATGAAGCTTCACACAACCGACACAGCAACAGATAAACAGGAAATGCCATCAGACAGGACGTGTGTATGATACTGATACTGTGTGGAGACTGGTACCCTGAACCCTGACCCTGAACACAACACAAACCTGAACCCTAACCCTGAACACAACACGACCCTGAACACAACACAACCCTGAACAACTATAGTTAGGATACGGAGAAAAGGTCCAAACAAACTAGATCCCCGGGAGTCTGGATGAAGCTAGCTGACAGTATTTTGGTACGTTAGCTAACTAGTTAGTAACCAAGCTAACGTTATCCAGCTAACAGCACAATCAGACAATATGTTCCACTAGCTTAGCAG